AAGATGCTGCCAGTTCCCCCCCTGAGCTGTGGGATGAGTGGACCAAACCCCCTACCCAAAACGGGGATCCTGGAGGAGTCAGCCGCCCGGAGAGCCAGCAAAAAGTCCATGTTCACCTTCGTCGAGAAGCCGAAGCTGGGCCCCAACCCCGATCTGCTGGACCTGGTCCAGAGCGTGGACAGCAGGAAGAAGCAGAAGGAGCAGGGGGAGCCTGGTGCTGAGGATGAGCCCTTTGCCCTTGGGGCTGAAGCCGCAAACTTTGTCCCCAGCAGCGTGGCCAGGGGCAGGCAGCACCTCCCGCCAGCTGACGATGCCCCAGCGTGGTCCTCCTGCCTCAAGTCCCCCACCATCCAGCCCAAGCCGAAGCCACAGCCCAGCCACAACCTCAGCGAAGCGAGAGGCAAGGGGGCTGAGCTCTTCGCCCGCCGGCAGTCCAGGATGGAGAAGTTCATCATCGAGGCTCCCTCCCAGCCCAAGCTGCTGCGGTCCCCGTCGCCCACCATGTCCCTGCCTCCCTCCTGGAAGTATGATACCAATGCTTGCCTGTCACCCATGGTCTCCAGACATGCCTCCAAGAGTCCCTCCAGGCCCTCCAAAACCCCTCCAGCGTCTCTCTATGGCAACAATCTGATGGAGAACGAGGTGTCCCAGAAGGAGCTAGAGATCTCCAAGCACCAGCCCTACCAGCTCCAGTCTTCACTCTTCATCCTCTCCCCATCCAAGGGGTCAGCGAGGTCCATGCCCCAGGAGATGCCTCCACCCAGACCCTCTCTTCCTGATGCCTACCCCTACCCCCAGCAAACCTCCTGCCCAACCTCTCCATTGCCTCCTTCCCCCGTTTGGCATCCCCCTGCTGCGCCCAGCGCCGGCCAGACCACCTCCAGCCCCTTCCCCAGTGCCACCAGGGCTCAGCCCCTGACTCACGGCAGCCGTGCTGGTCCCGGAGCCCCGACCGAGGTGCTGCTGGCCTCCCCGTGCCGCCTGCTGCCACCCCGAGCAAAGGGGGGCTTCCAGGCACCCCGGCCCTCCTACTCTACCAGGAACGCCGGCATCGAGCCGCAGGTGTGGAAACCTTCTTTTTACTACAAGTAGCGGTGGCAGAGAGAAAAACATGGGGGTTTTAGGCTTCCCTCCGCTGGCCGAGTCCTCCCTAACTGCTCACGGGTGTGCCAAAAGCCAAACCAGCTGCAAAAAAGGGGGGAAAAAGAAAAGGAAATAGAAAAAAGAAGTAGCTGTGAGGCTGCAGTGCCAGGACCATGGGTGAGACAGGCGCTGCCAACCCCCCGGTGTAATGGGAGCTGAGGGGTCCCAGGGAGGCGGGAGGATTCGGGGGCATAGTGCCCGTGGGATCCCAAAGAGCCATCGGCAGCCTGCCTGTCCCATGGGATCGCCGGCACTTTCTCTCTTCTCTCACTTGGAAACTGTATGGAGCATCGCATCTCTGGCTCCGTCCTTCCCTCACCTCCTGCCTTTCCAGCTCTCGTAGCCGGCAGCTGCCGGCACTGCCCGCTCACCCCAGCCCCTCTGTCCTGCTGGCTCCTATCGGCCTCCTACCAAAGCAAACCCAGAGGGGACACACTGCCTTCTGCCTCACTGTGCCTGCTCCTGTCTCTTTTGCTGCTCCTTCAGGATCTATCCTCATTTGCTTCCACGCCATGGGAGGAGAGCCCCATCCCTGGGAGAACATTGGAGCCCCCCGGTGCTGGGGACACCGCGGGGTCCCTGTCCCTCCCCATGCTCGGTGCTGGAGCTGGGGCCGGGCAGCGCTGCTGGGCATGGCTGGGAGCGAGGGATGTGCTGGGCGAGGGCAAGGCCAGCGTGGCGACGCTCAGCTCCATGCTCGTGGTCCAGCCGTGCCTCTGCCTGTCCCTTGCTCCCGCAGCTCTCCCCATGGTAACGAGTTGCCTTTTGACTGTGCTTTTATTTCTTCTGTGTTTTCCTTTTTTTTCCCTCTTTCTGAATACACTCTCTGCGCTGTCAGACCTGGCTCTTCTCTTTCCTGCCGGCTGGGGAGCAGCCGCCGGGCGATGGACCCCCGGGGCGGTGCAGGGGGATCTCTGCATCACCCAGAGGGAGGCTTTAGCAAGCTTCAGGTAGTGAGAGGTCCTGGGTCCTATTTTGGGCAAGGATGATTTATTGCAGGCTCAGCCTGCCCCAACCTCTTTGGCTGGTGAGGGGGTGTGGAGGCACATGCATTTTTGGGGAGCCCTTGTAGGGGGTGCAGTGCACGAGGATACATCCCCAGTTCTCGCAGGGCTGAGCCAGCACAGCTCTCGACCTGGCACCAATCCTGCCCCTGTCCCTCTGCTCTGCCCCCTTCATCCCTCCGAGTGGTGCTGGCACTAACCTGCTCTCTGTCCCCCTCCAGGAAAGGCGGCTGTCCCTCCCCGCCTCACCCACCTGGACACCCCGGCTGGCGCGGTGCCCGGGCAGCCTGGACGGCTGGGCCAGCCCGGCCTCGGTGCCCGAGCTGG